TAAATGGCTGTTGGTTCAGTCACCTCTGATAAACGATGGTAGTTCTGTGAATGGCCTAGGGGAGTAAAGGCCACATGATATCCATGTCAATAGCAGGTTGGAAGGTTGACAAGTTGGTGGAATATAATCCATAAAATCATACAATATTGACCTTGTGTCTGTGTGCAGAGAAGGACATTATCTGTGTAGTTTAGACAACACACCACAGAATAGAGTGATCCTTGTCCACTGGTACTGGGGGCATCAACATTTCTTGTGTCTGTCGGTGCAGAGTCATCCATTTTCTCTGGTCTCACAATGCATCCAAATAATAGTTCATTTAAAAGATGATTGATTTACTTTTGCAAAGGTGTAATATCTTAAATGCACACAAGGTCAAAGCCACTATGAGAATTCCAGCCATAAGTACAACTGAGTTCAGGACTCAGGTGTATCAAAAATATCCATTCACACCCTTCATTAGACTGTGAATAGCATTGCTACAAATAGAAGGTATTACAGAAATAAATCTATTTTGATATCTGTACTATGTATAACTGTCTAAATCATCCTACTGACTGACATATATATAGTAGATTATGTTATTGTGTGTACTGTGTGTAACAAAGTGGTATATAGGTAACAGTTAGTGTATACCGTACAGTAGAAGCTGGGGGAGAGGGAGCAGCAGGGGAGCTGGTAGCTGGTGTGAGGGGCTGGAGGGTAGCTGGGGTGGGGAGGTAGCTATATGTAGGGGGTAGCTGGGAGCGGAGGTAGCAAGAGTGGGGAGTAGCTGGGTGGGGGGTAGCTGGGCAGGGGATTGCTGGGGTTGGGATTAGCTGGGGCGGGAAGGTAGCTAGGGTAAGGAGTAGCTGGGGAGGAGGTAGCTAGCTGAGGGTTGGGATTAGCTGGGGCGGGGAGGTAGCTAGGATAAGGAGTAGCTGGGGAAGGGGTAGCTGGGGTTGGAATTAGCTGGGACGGGTTGGGGCTATCTTGGGTGTGGGGGGAAGGAGCTGGGATGCGGGGTAAGTGGGGTAGGGGGTAGCTGGGTTGGGGAGTTAGCTAGGGCGAGGAGTACCTGGGGCCGGGGATAAGCTAGGGTGGGGAGTAGCTGGGGTGGGGAGTAGCTGGGGTGGGAAGGTAGCTAGGGTGGGGAGTAGCTAGGGCGGAGAATAGCTGGGGCGGGGATTAGCTGGGGTGGGGAGGTAGCTAGGGTGGGGAGTAGCAGGGGTGGAGAGTATAGCTAGGGTAGGTAGGTAGCTTGGGTGGGGAGGTAGCTTGGGTGGGGAGTAGCAGGGGCAGGGGTAGCTAGGCGGTGTGGGGAAGCTTGGAGTTAGGGTATGGGGTAGATGAGTGAAGAGTAGCTGGGTTGGGGAGGATCTTAGGTTGTAGGCTATAGGTTCCAGTTGTATACAATATCTTACCATAGTAGCTGGGCTGGGGAGTAACTGAGGGAACCCTAGCTCAAATATCTGATTAATTGCTGTTATTTTGAAATATTAATAGAACCATGGATTTTGAAATTTTATATATAGGACTATATAGATGGTCTAGTATATAACATTTCAGATCTTAAAAAAATTACAGAGCTGCAATTGCCACAGCTACTGTGGGGAGGTTCCTCACAGGGTTGAGGGTGGTTACACCATCTGTATTTACATTAACTCTTTTTCCAAAACTATTGAAAGAAGATCTCACTACATTTTCAAATATGTGGTAGCAAATTTTAGTATTTAGGAGAACAAGAACTCACTATAGTAATTAAAATAAACATCCCACAGTACATGGTGTAAAAACTTACTTTAAAGTCTTCAGACAGGACTTCTCGGATTTCTTTTTGACCTTGAAAATTACTGAGATAGGAAACTCCCTGTTTGTGAGTAATGTTTGATGTTTTTTCTCTCTATGTACTCGGATTGATGTCAGTGTTTGGTCCTTTATTTTTTAAATCCTGTACATTCTTCGAATAAGAAATATTCTGCACTAACTCTTTTGAACTGGATATGCACTGTCATATCGATAACATCTTAAAACCAACTCAAAAAGTGTAATGGAATCCGGATATACTTGTCATTCCTTTTAACATTATCCAATGGCTTAGCTCGGAATCCAAACAGATAAAGGAAAAACAAAATAAATCACGGTAAATAACATAAAAAATATTTTTTCTTTTAGGCAAAATATTCTGAAGACCCTTTTCTTTGATTTTGATTTTTGTCAACTTTTGAAATAAACCCATTGGCTGATAGCTTCAAGAATAATCCTTAGTTATTTCACAAAAAAACAGGAAAGATTAGGTGCCAGTTGTGATTTATTAGAAAATATTGATTAACCTTGAAACCTTACACGTGATTAACTATGTAGTTCAAGGGCGTACATGCACACACTTGATTTGTCACATTGTGTGAATAGGTCTCAAAACATCCAGCTTTTATAATTACTCTCCTTCGTCTCAGACAGTCGGCGTGTTGTCGTACCTGTACAAGTTGGCATTGTAGTTTACAGTCAGAAGGTGCTGAGAAACACCTGGAAAATACAGAGGTTTTCGCTATACATGAATATGTACATGTAAGAGAAAATCTCATTATATAAGATAGCTCAGTAACTGGTTGACTGGGCATTCACTGCCATATAAGTATGTGGGGTGTTCTGTTTTATTTATGAAAGCATGCAATCTGGAGTCACGATATCAGAACTTCTGGCCTACATCAATGGTAGAATAATCGACCGGCTTGTACACATGTTTGTGTAAATTTTAATTTTATTTGAATACTGAACTTATTTCTACTTGATTAAGCATGAAGATTGCATGTATTAAATTGATTCAAATTGAAATTGAAAATTAAGGTCTTAACATTATAATCTCCTACTGAGTGCACTCTTTGGTTATTACTATTTGTCGATTGTACAGAACAATGAAAAAGTATGTTTCTGATCAAAGCTATCGGTAGGGCTAATTGCCAGAACTGCCTGAAGCAAGTTGTTGACAGCCATAATCAAGATGGAATACTGTAAACCAGTTTTCAAAGGCAGATACTAACAATCAAGTGTAGGACACAACGTGAGGCTGCATACAGAAGACAAATTTGTGTTTATGTTGAAAAAATATATATGTATGCTTTGGTGTAATGTGGTTGTTGACAGTCATGTGAATTGGGCAATGTATGTACCATGAAAACACCAAAAATCACAGTCACGCTGAACTTACGACATAATGTTATCTGAGACTGTCTATTCCTGGAATTCTCTTTAATGCTGTAATGTGGTTGTTCACAGTTATGTGAATTGGGCAATGTACGTACCATGAAAACAACAAAAATCACAGTCACGCTGAACTTACGACATAATGTTATCTAAGACTGTCTATTCCTGGAATTCTCTTTAAGCATTGAGCAGAATTTTTTTCTTATTGACAGGAAACGAAATGCTGCAACTATTATTACCCCAAAGTGACTAGATATTTTAGATTCCCTATCAAATGAAGTAAACGTTTTAAGTATTTCAAAAACTGACTTTTTGTTGAAAAACATATTTTATCATATTTATTGAACCAGATTGCAGTGGAACATTATTGCATTGTCTGTTTCTATGGAAACCATCCTTATAAACTTATTTTATCTGTAAATGTTCTCAATAGCTTCTTATGTCTGTTTATATGGAATTCTTCCTTAAAATTTGCTGTCTGTTTCCATAGAAACCACCCTTGTCTGTTCATATGGAAATCATACATTTCAATTTTTTTTTGTGACAGTCCAATGTGATAAGAATCTCCCAAAAAATAGTTGTGCAGAAAGTTTGTGTTATTTTAGAAGTATTTCATGATTAATCTTGGGAGGCTAAATATCTCATGTGAAATGCATTTGGGGGGAGTGGGGGTATAGGGCTTGATCCGTCTGTCTGTGCGTCCGTCAGTGTGTCGATCCTTTTGTACATTCAGCATCCGCTCCAAACTATTCTGTGTCTCTGTACAAAGCTGAGTACGTATATCAAGCTAGGTGCTTTAGTTGTGCAGTTTGCTATTGGGGAGTTTTCTTTTTCAGTTTTTTTCCTTTTGCCATGGAGACAGATACTTAAAACTACAAAATTTACTGATTCCTAGAATTTTACAGGCCATAACAATTTCAAATCTCTATTAAACTTTGTACACACATCAGACTGGTGCCATGTTTGCGCTATTTGCTATTTTATGAATTACTGTTTTGGAAGCAAACAGCCAATACTATGAAATTCACTGTTTTAAAAGCTTCTCCAAACAACAAGTCAAAAGACATTCATATGTGCCACAAGTACCATGTTTGTGATTCATTGACATGGCTCTGCTAATTTTATTTCTCAACAGATTTTTGTCACAGTTTGTACGAAAATATGAAAACACCTGAGATAAGTTTGTATGAAATGGTTCCAAGCTTAAGGTCAATACCAAGTTGCTTTGTCAACCACTGCTATTTTGTCAACAGAAGCATTGTCATCATCAGTTTACTGACTTCACGGACAAGAGGGCGTTCATCGCCTACAGATCTTTTCCAGGTTATTTTAATTTTTCCAGTACATTTTCCCATTCTACACTTCTGTTTAATATGTCTAACGAATTTACTTTTGGCCAATAACAAACTGTACTGAAAAAAAAAGGTAAAATCTACTGGGGTCTACATCAAATATCAGTTAGTGGAACTTGTTTGTAATGTTGTATGTCTGTTTCCTCATCTTTCTTTTGACCTGTAGGTCGGGGACGGGAGACACCAGTCTTTGTGTTACCATGTTAGTACCAGTTTGACCTTGGTGAAGGACTTTAGACTGATTGAACAATATAGAGGATCTGAAATTCCCGGTAGAATAAAACAAGCTAAGCTGATACAAGTTTCAATAAATAAGAGTGGACAGACCAAAGAAAAATGTTGTTTCTTATCATGTCAAAAAGGTTGTCGTTATATTTCAAAAATGTATGTGATTGTTCTATTACAATACACAGCAACCAATGTATATGTACACGATAAATTATTTTTAAATTTTGTGTTTTGCAGGTGACATTTACAAAGCGCAAGTTTGGCCTGATGAAGAAAGCCTACGAGTTGAGTGTGTTATGTGACTGTGAAATCGCTCTCATCATATTTAACAGTGCCAACAAGTTGTTTCAGTACGCGAGTACTGACATGGACAAAGTCCTCCTCAAGTACACAGAGTACAACGAACCACACGAAAGTCGCACAAACAAGGACATCATCGAGGTAAGGGTCTTGAGATTGTGCTTTGTTATTAATACATTATATTCAGAAATCCTTCGCAGTGACCATCGTATATCAATGTCCTCTCTCAATGTCTCACAGTGATCCAATACCACCCCTGCAGGTAAATAATCTAGAAAAGAATACACCTGCTGTTACCCCCTGCATGTATTGTAAGAGGCGACATATATTTCTTTCTTTTTCTAACTACTTTTTATTTCCTAGCGCCTTGCTTGGCAACACCTCACTGTTGGCTGTAATGCTCCCAGGTGTGGAAGGCAACAGGTTTGGTCCCCAGGCAGGGACACACCAAAGTCCTTAAAGATGGTAGTTGTTCTACCTGCTTAATTTCATCATTAAGGGTAATGGCAACAATTGATTCACCCGTTGTCAGTATAATGTGACCAGGCGTGATGCTGTGCTGGGTGTCTTCAGCATCGTATTTCAGTGAGGTAGCACTCAAACATCAGCATCAGATCAGCACTATCACAAGGAGGCATGTAACCAACATACCCTGCCTCCTGTAAACACACACACAAGTATGCATATACACTTGTAACACACAAGTACGCATACACTTGTAACACACAAGTATGCATACACTTGTAACACACATGGATGCACGTCCTTAAATGATAGGAAGTTAAACAAAATAAAAACCAAACCAAACCACGATTGATCAGATATTCTTCCCCTCTCTTAGTCTTATGTAAGTGTAGAAAAGCTTGTTCCTAAATTTTTTATTTTTGTTGCTGAAACTATTTGTCGCATGAAATAGTTTGTTTGAATTATTCGGTAGCAGTATGTTAGAAATTGTGTCAGTAGGTTGTTTAAATTATTCAGTAGTAGAATGTTAGAAATTGTGTCGGTAAATTTGTTGGTAAATGTTTACACACTGATTCAGTAAACATGAAAATAACAAACATTTTGACTCTAACAATAAACATTACAATTATTTCAGTAAACATTACAGTAAACATTATGGTTAACATGCAGAGCAAGCAAGTCATCTCTTTCTCATCAAGTCATTAGCTAATACATCTATTCGTTTGTAAATTACACTTGTTTTTAAGTATGATTTCTTAAAAAAATATGCCAAAAAATAATAATTTTATATCCGGAATATTTCCTTGGAATTGGACAACTGAGAATCTGCACAACTGCACCTTGCTCAAACAGTGGGGTACTAAGGAGAATCAGAGTCTCTCTTGAAGAGGTAATGACTAAAAGTCAGAACCTCCATTTAACACTTTAAACAGTTAATCAGCTTCTATCTAACAGTGAAGGTATGTAGAATAAAAGTGTTTCCTTCAACAGTGGAAGACTGTTGAGAATCAGCAACTCCCTCAAACAGTTGAGAATGAGGAGAATACAGACCTTCACATTGCCTATGAATGCCAAATGAAATCCATTCCTGCTTAAATACCAAACCAAACAGGAAGTGTAAACAAATTAAAAACTAACAGGCAGTGAAGTATTCATAGCCAACAACAGGAAGTATAACTGTGAACAAATCCATCAACAGGAAGTGTTACAGTACACAAAGCCAACTACAGGAAGTGTTACAGTTCACAAAGTCAACTACAGGAAGTGTTACAGAACACAAAGCCAACTACAGGAAGTGTTACAGTACACAAAGCCAACTACAGGTAGTGATACAGTACACAAAGCCAACTACAGGATTTGTTACAGTACACAAAGCCAACTACAAGAAGTGATACAGTACACAAAGTCAACTACAGGAAGTGATACAGTACACAAGGCCAACTACAGGAAGTGATACAGTACACAAAGCCAACTACAGGAAGTGTTACAGTACACAAAGCCAACTACAGGTAGTGATACAGTACACAAAGCCATCTACAGGATGTGTTACAGTACACAAAGCCAACTACAGGAAGTGACCCAGTACACAAAGCCACCTACAGGAAGTGATACAGTACACAAAGTCAACTACAGGAAGTGTTACAGTACACAAAACCAACTACAGAAAGTGTTACAGTACACAAAGCCAACTACAGGTAGTGATACAGTACACAAAGCCATCTACAGGATGTGTTACAGTACACAAAGCCAACTACAGGAAGTGATACAGTACACAAAGTCAACTACAGGAAGTGTTACAGTACACAAAGCCAACTACAGGAAGTGTTACAGTACACAAAGCCAACTACAGGTAGTGATACAGTACTCAAAGCCAACTACAGGATGTGTTACAGTACACAAAGCCAACTACAGGAAGTGATACAGTACACAAAGCCAACTACAGGAAGCGTTGCAGTACACAAAGCCAACTACAGGAAGCTTTACAGTACACAAAGCCAACTACAGGAAGCCTTACAGTCCTCAAAGCCAACTACAGGAAGTGATACAGTACACAAAGCCAACTACAGGAAGTGATACAGTACACAAAGTCAACAACAGGAAGTGATACAGTACACAAAGCCAACTACAAGAAGTGTGGCAATGTATACAATTTATCAACCCAACAACAAAGAATGGCTGTATATGAAGCCAGGAACAACATGTTTTCATCTATTTATACAAACAAAAAATGTCAGTTAATTTTGTGGTTTTGGAAGTATGAAGTAAATAATTTTGATAATAAACAGTTTTCCCCAGCCAAAGGTCTGCCATATACAGAGCAAGGTCCTTTCTGACAGCTAGTCTGTCACCCACTGAGTAAGAATCTCCCTGAGGGGCTAGTCTCCAATATACAGATGAAGGGCTGTCCCTCTGGGAGAGATTTGTTACACTGTTTCATGCAGATTGTGAGCACTATGGTAAGCTAATTAGGAAGAGACACCTGTGACATTCGCAGATAAAAACTTGTGAATCACATAGATGTACAGGATTAAGGCATTCTTTATTAGGCTGTAACAAGAGAGAAATTCCTGATCAGGACTGTGGTCATATCCTATATTACTGTGACTGTGATTAGTAACTTTGATCAGGGCTTACTTCAATTGTGTCCATACTCAAGGTTTATTGTTTTAATTGTGTCCATGATCAGGGCTCATTGTTTTAATTGTGTCCATGATCAGGGCTCATTGTTTTAATTGTGTCCAGGATAAGGGCTGATGGTTTAATTGTATCCAGGATCAGGGCTCATTGTTTTAGTTGTGTCCATGATCAGGGCTGATCGTTTAATTGTGTCCAGGATCAGGGCTTACAGTTAACAGTTACTGTGAACATTAGTTTAATTCTTGAAATTAACTACATGCACATGTATTTAGTGATCAGGAATCACTAGTACTGATGGCACATTGTTGGAATTCCTGTTCAGGGCCCTCCATGTTTGGTTATTGTTTTGGTCAACTGCGTCTTAGTTCAGTGGACCACTTGTTGATCCAACCTCAGGAACAAACCATCTAAATAGTAAATGCACAGATAAATAACAACAGGTATACAACATCCATAATGTCCATAAAAAATAAATTTTATAAACCTACAAGTGAGAGCAGAAGCCGGCTAGTTGATGATGAATTATCTAGGAGTGGCAGACTACGGTTCCAAGCAAAAAACTATTGCATTAGATGATGCGTTGGGAAATGCCATCTATACTCATTAAGGCATCCTAATTGACACAAGGGCTATCTGACAAATCAATTTTAGGGGGTACAGAACTGGCTGTAATATTAAGCACACATGTAGCCAGTAATTATCCAATGTTCTGCCTATCTCCTGCCCACTTTGGTGCCTACTCATCCTCCTGGATCTGACCCCTAGCTCCTATCAGGGCTTATCTCCTGGCCCACTAAACTCATTTAGGTATTTCAAATCTTGTTTTTTTCTGATGTTTGTGGTATGTCCAGATTCCTATATATTTAAACTGACTCAATATTTTGAAGGTAAAGGAGTTCCTACTGCAAGATGAGGAAATGAAAATAGCTCTAGATGATGAAATCTCCATTCTACGTAGGTGTCCACACCAAAGTATTGGAGTAGATATATGTGACCTAGACCAATAAAAGCATTACCAAGGACTGGATCAATAAATATTTCACCTAAGGGTTGATCAATATATATTTTACATTAGTTTGTTGGTTTAAACATTGCTGAAGGGGTGATATTTTAGATGAAATTGTGTAATACAAGTCTGAGACTCCAAATAAAATACTGGATCCTGACAAACCACAGGTAATAGCCTCGTCTGTCAAAACACCTATAATATAATCTTGATTATATTATAGATGTTTTGACACACAAGGCTAGTACCTGTGGACAAACAAATACTAAAAGAGACTGGCACAACAGGCTTGTGCTGAGAGGATACAAAACATGAGGGTGTTACATACGCTATCCTGTTTACATGGTTTATTGTTCTGTTGTGTGATACTGATTTTGCCTAGATGGAGTTCTAAGAAGAGAGTGAACAACATCCTGTCTTCATGGTTACAAACCAATCCAGAAGCTGACCTGTGCTGATAATTGGTAATTCTGTGTAAAGATGTGACAAACAGTTCAAACTGGAGATGTCTGAAGCAGATACTTTCTTCTGTACAATATTACCTAGGAAATATTCTAACTGGAAGAATGCATGTTTAGCTGTATCTGGCAAAGATACTGTTCCCATTAGCCCCATAGAGCCAGTCACTGAGACAGACTATCAGAGACAGACTAGAAATGGTGGCTTGTAGAGACAGTTATAGAGGTGTGAATACACTTCAGATAAAGCTACTAGCTCTGTCAGTGAAAATTTATGATGTTCTATATTAAAAGTTGTCAATTAAATTACATGGTTATAGTACAGTGTAGACTGGAGCAGGAAATGGAAATAAATATATTGTTCTACTACAGCTTGAAGGCACAGTCATCAATTTTCATTGGAGTTTTATGAAACATGGTCTATTGGATATTGCATAATTGATAGTGCTTGCATCTCTGGCTAAATGGTCTAGTGTTTGAATGTCTAGTGTCTAGAGGAGGAGGAAGCTGGGAGGGAGAGGAGGCTGGGAGGGAGAGGAGGAGGAGGAAGTGGGGAGGGTTGTGTATAGATGTAA